TTGAGATATTTAAGTGAGGTTCAATTTTTATTTTCCATGATTTTAGTTTGACAGATAGATTTGCACCTTTACTTTGTGATGGTATTCTTTCTAATTTAACAGAAAATATGCTAATGTTACACATATAATTATATATATATATACATATATGTATATTTATGTATATATATATATTTTTTTTTCATTTTAGCTTGGATAAAGCTCTTCATTCAGCTGGAATAGATTCTGGCTTCATAATTTTTGGAACTAACTTGAGCAATCCATTGAATATGCTTTTACCTGTACTACAAACAGTAAGTAAAAAGTCATTTTATGTATTAGCAAACACTCTGACATATATTCCACTTGATATCATTTTGCTGTAAAACCAATTAATTTGTAGAATATGCTTTTACCTTTTACTAATTTGCCATTTTACTTGTATATAATTTTCACATTGATAATGTTACTTTAAAGATTATTACATAAATATATTGCTAAACTCTCATGTTATATATAATTTGATTTGGGAATCATAAAACTTTAGAAAGACTTAACTATTTTGTTTTTCATTGTTAATAGTAATGGAAATCTTTTAGTCCATATATAAAAATAATTTAAAATTTAATTTATTATAAGATTTTCCTGAGGGCAGTTGTACCAAAAATTTGGTGAAGAATTTAATAGATTTTTTTCTCTCTCTTTTTTTTTTTTGGTGAGGAGAGATGGGGTATTATCACAATAGCCTAATATAAATCAGATTCAATATTTTAAACATTTGACAAATATCAGTAATGAAATTTTCAGTTAATTTTATATGGTTTTTAGAGCCCTTAAAGTTTGTATTAAATTTAATTTTATCTATTTTTCAGGTTTTTCCTCTTGATTATATTCTCATAACAATTATTATTATGTACTTTATTTTTACTTCAATGGCGGGAATTCGAAATATTGGCATATGGTTCTTCTGGATTAGAGTGAGTATATATTACTTTTACTTTTTTCTCATTATTTTGTTCATAATGTCCATCATTGCAAATTGTCTTAGATTTATAATATAGAAATTTTATCTAGATGCCAAAAGTGATGGAATTATTAGCTTTTTTATTTTATATCAACATAACAGACTTTTTGTAGAGAGCAGTTAAAAATTAACCAGGGGAGATTTTGTCTCTCCCCCTACCCCCAGGGTATATTTGGCAATGTCTGCAATTGACTCAGTGACAGTGAGTTTTATTTTTTCCTGTTTTTTGGATACATAAAAATTTGGTACAATTTAGAAGTGCCACTACATCTAGTGGGTAAAGGCCAGGGATGCTGCTAAACATCCTATAGTGCACAGGGCAGCCACCCACAACAGAGACTTACCTAGCCTAAAATGTCCATCGTGCAGAAGTCAAGGAACTGTGGTGTAGAAGTTACAGTAATTATTTTCCTTAGTGTGACTGCATGGAAACACATTGAAGCACAAGTAGATACAATGAAGCTCAAAAGATGGTTTTCCTTGCTAGGAATTAAGGAGTATATTATGGATTGAACTGTGCCCCCAAACAATATGCTTTATAAATTCTACCTCTGTGCCTGTGGTTAGAAGCTTTAATGGTGTAGTACCTAAAGCATTTGAGTGCTAATAAGAAGGCTGGAGGTTCAAACCCACCAGCCATTCCTCAGAAGGAAGACTGAGCAATCTACTTCCATAGAGATACCACCTCAGAAACCCAAGGAGGGGTCACTATGAGTTGAATCGACTCCAGGGCAGTGAGTTTGGGTTGTGTGTGTGTGTGTGTGTGTGTGTGTGTGTGTGTCTTGGTTATAATCCTATTTGGGAATGGGTTGTCTTTATTATGTTAATGAGGTAGGATTAGTATAGGGTATATCTTAGTCTCATTTTGAGATAGTGATTAAACATGCATTCAGAGGAGAGATGGAGGAAGATAGATGCCAAGACACATGGAGATCTCCAAGGAACCAGAAAAAAGAAACTGAAGAGACCAGGACCTTCCTCTGACCAGCAGAGAGAGAAAGCCTTCCCCTAGAGCAGGTGCTCTGAATTTGAACTTGTAGCCTCATACAGTGTGAGGAAATAAATTACTGTTTGTTAAAGCCATCCACTTTTGGTATTTCTGTTATAGCAGCACTAGATGACTAAGAGAACTGTGTGATTTGAGAAAGGGATATTTTTTTCTTTGTACCTGTGTTGAGATAAACTTAGACATTTTAGATGAAGCTTGTCAAGTAGAGACTACGTTTAGTTGTGAATAAAAGAAAACTCAAATCATGGCTTGAACTAATGGGCGAATAAAAATCTTAGATTCCTTCAGTAGTTCAAAATGTCAAGTTCAGTATCTGTAATTATCTTGGCCTCTTCCTCATGATTGCAAAAATGGCTGCTACAGATGCATTTACTTTGGTGAATAAGAGGAAGGGATAACACCTGTATCAATAAAACAAAACTTTCCTAGAAATCCCCAGAAGACTTCTCCTCGCCTGTCATTGTTTAGCATTTTATCACATGGCCATCTGTAACTGTAAAGAAAGCTAGGAGATGTAGATTTTAGTCCCACCAGTAGTGCATGTAAAGAAAGCTAGGAGATGTAGTATATTATCATCCATCCATAACTGGAATTCTGTTATACTATAATGTATTACAATCTACTACTAAAACAAGGAAGTAATATCATAGTGGCTAAGATGAAGAAAGTCCCCTCATTCCTTATATTTTGTGAAAATATAGTCAAGGTTATCATAAATAAATTATCTAAAATATAGTCTTGTAGTAGATTATAACATGAGGATATTATATTTGATGTTGTTGTTGTTGTTACGTGCCATCAAGTTGGACCCGACTCATAGCGACCCCTCCTTGGGTTTCTGAGGCAGTATCACTATGGAAGTAGATTGCCCCATCTTCCTT